TTCTCAAGTTCAATAGCCGGGTAACGTTGGTCTACCCACCAAGTCCATGATGAAACCTGTGTTTCAAAATCTCTAGCACCCAACTCTCGATCTTAATTGAACATCCCAGCAGTTGGTCAGGGATCTGGAGGTTCAGGGTTTAAGCAGGTTGGAACTCGAGTGGTTTACTGCCTCAAGGTTATCTATAGGGGGTTGACAGCTTATATACTCGTTGTAACATAGTGTTTGAGCGTATATACACACAGGGATGGGTATAGACTAACGGTATCGAGACTTTGGTCATTTAGCTCTAACCAACCACATGTACATGTGCACACACACACACACACGCACACTTACATATATCTATAATATTTATGTATGTATCTATACATATGTAGAAACCCGTTTGTAACATTTCTTTCTCTTTACCGTTCTATATAGCTATACCGCTCTAGTTATCTATGTACCTATATATCTATCTACCTACCCAGGTAGCTGTGTGTGTGTACATATTCACATGTTCAGGATGCACGGTCAGCCTGGTTTGGCCATCATCTCAAGGAGGAAAGCGTTGTAGACTTGCAAGCTTTCTGTAGGATCTGCCTTGGATCCCATGTCCCACTTAAATTCCTGCGACCCATTCTTGGCATACTCCAGGAACTCGCCAAACAGCTCGCAGCTTTCGATGTTCTTTTTCCTGACGAAAAGAACTTGGGATCCGACAATGTCGTAGGAGAAGTTAGGCGGCAAAGCCGCCAGTGGGTTGTTAAACTGCTCCTTGGTCAAGTCGATCATATTCAGCTTGCTGCAGTCGACGATGGCGAGCTGGTTCCTGCCCGATCGACGGCTGTCTGGCGTCTCACACCTGTGCGCCAACTCCAGGGAACCTGTGTGCTCGTCGTTCCAGGACAGTCTGCGCTTGACTGGTGGCTTGCCCTTCGGAGAAACTTCCTCCTCAGTTTCCTGCTCGTCTGGGTTCCCGGTGCCTTTGTTGTTAGAGCCTGAGCCTTCCTCATCTGCTTCCTCCTCCTCCTCTTCCTCGGCGGCTTTCTTCTTTCCTTTGGCCTTCCCTTTGCCTTTAGCACTTCCTGGAGAGCCTTCCTCCTCCTCCTCCTCTTCCTCGGCGGCTTTCTTCTTTCCTTTGGCCTTTCCTTTGCCTTTGACACTTCCTGGAGAGCCTTCCTCCTCGGCGGCTTTCTTCTTTCCTTTGGCCTTTCCTTTGCCTTTGGCACTTCCTGGAGAGCCTTCCTCCTCTGCTTCCTCCTCCTCGGTGGCTTTCTTCTTCCCTTTGGCCTTTCCTTTGCCTTTGCTGGCACTTCCTGGAGAGCCTTCCTCTTCTGCTTCAACCTCCTCGGCGGCTTTCTTCTTTCCTTTGACCTTTCCTTTGCCTTTGCTGGCACTTCCTGGAGAGCCTTCCTCCTTTGCTTCCTCCTCCTCGGCGGCTTTCTTCTTTCCTTTCGCCTTTCCTTTACCTTTGCTGGAACTTCCTGGAGAGCCTTCCTCCTCTGCTTCCTCCTCCTCGGTGGCTTTCTTCTTCCCTTTGGCCTTTCCTTTGCCTTTGCTGGCACTTCCTGGAGAGCCTTTCTCCTCTGCTTCCTCCTCCTCGGCGGCTTTCTTCTTTCCTTTGGTCTTTCCTTTGCCTTTGGCCTTTCCTGGAGAGCCTTCCTCCTCTGCTTCATCCTCCTCCTCCTCGGTGGCTTTCTTCTTCCCTTTGGCCTTTCCTTTGCCTTTGTTGGCACTTCCTGGAGAGCCTTCCTCCTCTGCTTCCTCCTCCTCCTCTTCCTCGGCGGCTTTCTTCTTTCCTTTGGCCTTCCCTTTGCCTTTAGCACTTCCTGGAGAGCCTTCCTCCTCTTCCTCTTCCTCGGCGGCTTTCTTCTTTCCTTTCGCCTTTCCTTTACCTTTGCTGGAACTTCCTGGAGAGCCTTCCTCCCCTGCTTCCTCCTCCTCGGCGGCTTTCTTCTTTCCTTTGGCCTTTCCTTTGCCTTTGCTGGCACTTCCTGGAGAGCCTTCCTCCTCTGCTTCCTCCTCCTCGGCGGCTTTCTTCTTTCCTTTGGCCTTTCCTTTGCCTTTGACACTTCCTGGAGAGCCTTCCTCCTCTGCTTCCTCCTCCTCGGCGGCTTTCTTCTTTCCTTTGGCCTTTCCTTTGCCTTTGGCACTTCCTGGAGAGCCTTCCTCCTCTGCTTCCTCCTCCTCGGTGGCTTTCTTCTTCCCTTTGGCCTTTCCTTTGCCTTTGCTGGCACTTCCTGGAGAGCCTTCCTCTTCTGCTTCAACCTCCTCGGCGGCTTTCTTCTTTCCTTTGACCTTTCTTTTGCCTTTGCTGGCACTTCCTGGAGAGCCTTCCTCCTTTGCTTCCTCCTCCTCGGCGGCTTTCTTCTTTCCTTTGCCCTTTCCTTTGCCTTTAGCACTTCCTGAGCCTTCCTCCTCTGCTTCCTGCGTCTCGGCGGCTTTCTTCTTTCCTTTCGCCTTTCCTTTGCCTTTGGCACTTCCCGAGCTTTCCTCCTCCTCCTCTTCCTCGGCAGCTTTCTTCTTTCCTTTGGCCTTTCCTTTGCCTTTGACACTTCCTGAGCTTTTCTCCTGCGCTTCCTCGGGGGTGTTCTTTCCTTTGGCCTTTCCTTTGCCTTTGACACTTCCTGAGCTTTCCTCCTCTGCTTCCTCCTCCTCCTCCTCGGTGGCTTTCTTCTTTCCTTTGGCCTTTCCTTTGCCTTTGACACTTCCCGAGCTTTCCTCCTCCTCCTCTTCCTCGGCGGCTTTCTTCTTTCCTTTGGCCTTTCCTTTGCCTTTGACACTTCCTGAGCTTTTCTTCTGCGCTTCCTCGGGGGCTTTCTTTCCTTTGGCCTTTCCTTTGCCTTTGACACTTCCTGGGCTTTCCTCGTCTGCTTCCTCTTCTTCGGCGGCTTTCTTCTTTCCTTTGGCTTTTCCTTTGCCTTTGCTGGTTCTTCCTGAGCTTTCCTCCGCTGCTTCCTCCTCTTCGTTGGCCCCGCTCTTCGCGCGTGCCGGAGTTGGGAGCAGGTTTGAGGCAGCTCCCTTCCGCAGAAGCTTCGGCGCCTCTGCGACAGGAACGCATAGGCCGTCTTTGTCCACAACGTACCCACCCCGGTACCTAGAACCGTTCCCTGTCACGTACATCTCTCCCAGCTCGGGTGGATCTTCGGCAGGAAACACTAAGAGTGATGTTCTTCGGGTGGCCTCGCCCCAGTCCCACTCTTCGTCGGCAGGGTCCATCGTGGCCATTGCCACGACACGAACACGGCTGATCTCGAGCTGTATAGCTCTGTGGATGGATGGATGGAGAACCACACCTTTCGAAAGTTTCACTCAAGCAGTGGTACATGGTGTGACACGCTTTTACACGTTTGAAGCTATGTTATAGATCCGTTGGCACGCTTTTACACGCTTTTACACGTTCGGCAACTGGTGGGTCAGATTCGTATTGAACACCGATCCCTTCGATCCGTGCCGAAACGTGTCGTGCCGTGCCCCAACATGTCGTTCCGTGCCGAAACGTGTCGTGCCGTGCCGTGCCGAAACGTGTCGTGTCACACCGAGACATGTCTGTTTCATGTCGTGCCGAAACGTGTCGTGCCACACCGAAACATGTCGTGTATCGTGTCGTGCCGAAACGTGTCGTGCCATTAAGGCGTGCCGAAACGTGTAAAAGCGTGCCGAAACGTGTCGTGCCGTGCCCAAACATATCGTTCCGTGCCGAAACGTGTCGTGCCGCGCCGAAACGTGTCGTGTCACACCGGAACATGTCGTGTTTCATGTCGTGCCGAAACGTGCCGTGTCACACCGAAACATGTCGTGTATCGTGTCGTGCCGAAACGTGTCGTGCCCTGCCGAAACGTGTAAAAGCGTGCCGAAACGTGTCGTGTTAACGTGCCTTTGAATGCATCGTGCGGTATATATTAGTATATATATATATATATATATATTACACACATATTACATAGGAAAGGGTTACGCATACGTATTGTTATATAGCTTGTATGATACTGTAGTGTTTAGGATATAGGATATATATATATATATATATATATACATGCCTTCGAAAATGTGTTTGTCTCTTCGGATTCTCTTTGCTTTATATACATAGACGGGCATCTCATGATCCAACAAGACTAGTAGAAATTGAGATACAGGGCCGGTGGGTTAAGTAGATGATAACAAGCAAGCGTGATCAGCAGCTTTTTCGCTCTCACAGTTCGCAGAGCATGCTCTGACTCAGCAGAGGCACATCACCACAGAGTCTCTGAAGCTCGGCGTGTATTCGGATTCTTTGCTAGTCATGCAGTGCTCCTGATTCCAAGACTCTGAATATACAGCGCTCTGCATGTTTCGCTACCTACAATTAAAATTAGTACCTGCGCACACACACACACACCTTGAAAGCGTCTTGCGCTTCTCTATATACATATATCATATATAGATAGGGGTTTAGGTATGTAGGGTTATGCATACAACCCAAGGGTGCAGGCACACAATAAAATCTAGCTCAGCCCTGACTCATCAAAATGTCTTCCAATCCACTATCTGAGGAGTCTCCACCGTCACGGATGTCCTGGTATGATGCACCGCCATCTGGCAGCAGGGCCTTTTCATTTGGCGGCAAGGCATCCAGGTAGTTCTTGATTGCTTCGCCCACCTGCGGTCAACCGGCATGGTTTGGGTGTGAAATTTCGGCAAAATCTTGGACGAGGAATTCAGTCGCTACGGATTCCAATCTTTCTGCGACGGTTATTTCAGCTTGAACTGGGACCAGTATTAACCCTTAGAAACCCTCAGCCCTATTATAAAGCAAGACCCTATATATGTACATTAACTACTCCTGACAAACCCCTGCAAGGGTACCGGCATACATCAGGATCAGCACGAAATAGCTTTGTACTTGGAAGTTCCATCCAATGTAGGTTATAGGATACAAACTGGGAATTCCTAGCTAGATTATGTTTGTTGCCAAGTGCCTTGATCCCGAAGGCAGCGGGATACTCTTGCGTCTTCTTCAGATCTTTGCGGCCCACCTGATGTGTGTGTGGAGTGTTGGGCAAACCACAATGCAGCTGCATGTAATGGTTTGATCACATCTATTTGAGGTAGTGACGGATCGCACTTTCCCACGGAAGTCCACGTAGTGCCGATGGCTTTCGAACTTCAGGAAGGACTTCACTCGTCGGATTCGTTCCCTTCGTGTTCCATGGGCTGTATTTAAACCATTGGGTGCATGTGATGTACTTACAATATCAGTTGCTTTCTCATACGCACGGTATGTATGAGGCCTCGCTATCGGAGTCATAGGGCGCCCCAAGCGACCAAGCCAAGGGGCCGTGCCAACCAGCATGACCTCCACAGGGTTGCTCATGGCATGGATCAGGTCCCAGCACACAGGAGTCTTCTGAAAGAAAGCCAGATCATGTATAAGTATAAGATATGGCATGTGTTGGGGAGTCGACAGTATCGTGCATAAGATATTCACAACTACACCTGGCAAGCCAGGTGTAACAGGAGCCCAGCCTGCTTGATGCAGGGCCCTCCATATGCCCCCAAGGACACCATTACGCAACGTGCCCGAGATCGTCGGATGAGAGCCTTGGCAGGACTGCTACATAGGATGTTACAAAGGCATATCGAGAAAACTTAAAACCCGAACCCTTGACCCCGCTAAAATCCCGGAACGGCGTCAGCATTACTAGCCCCTCACGAAATAAGCCTTCTTCGGCTGATCCAAGAAAACATACAGCTAATATGATTCCCTGCAAGGGTCTTTGACAGCTGGGTACTGCCATAGCAGCGAAGACCCAGGGTTCTCTATAACCCAATGAACCTTCCGGGTGTCCAGGTAGTGGCACCTGAGATGAATCCCAGTGCCCTGCACAATGTGCTCCGAATGCTTGCGCGTATATCTGGTGTGTCCAAACTGATCCAAGGCACATATAAACGAGACGCCGGGCCATCTTGTTAGCTTCCCGAACTTTCTTGAATCGACGATTGCCTGTTGAAGGGCCAATGTTGGAGGTCTTATTGTGGGTTTAAGGGTTTTTAGGGCTAGGGTCTATTTTGTTTTGAATTCACGGAAAAGGTTTGGAGGTTTAGTGATTGCGAGATTTCATTCAGGTTTAATTGAAGGCTATAGATTTGCGGATTGAGGTATGTTGTGTTTCGGGGCTTTAGGATTCAAGTCTTAGGGGTGAATTTAAGGTTGGGGCCTCACGGTTCCTAATCTCAAATCAGGTACATTGACTCGACAGAGTAGTAACCCACCTGAGGCGACCAATCGAGTACGGCGTGTGCTCGACCTCGACCTAACTGCGCCACGGCTGCAAAATGCTGCAACTGCTGCACTGTAACTGCACAGGGAGCTGGTCGTGCTGAGATGCATCCATATCCACGTAGAACATGGAATGCCGAACCAGCAGCAGCCGTTGGTGATCACATGCCGTAACTGAGCTGGGACCAGTCAACAAGATTTTGCATTTAATGCTTCGAAGTTCCCAAATGCAATCGAGTGGCGAGTTCCATGGTTGCTAAAAATCCTCCAATCGTCAATATATCCAATTTTCGGGAGTAGGCAACCTTCGATGCATGCATTCGACTCGAAATCAGCCGGACAACATCTGGCTGGGGTATAAGGCTTGCAGTCGAGCTGCGTCCATGGCACGGGAGCGGAGATCGTACAACTTGCAAGCATCAGCCAACACCCGCGACCCAGCAAAGACCTCGGCCACGTGGATGGCATCCTCAGCCTCAATCTCGCCGAAGCCTGAATGGAGCGACACATGTGGTATGTGTATATATATATATATAGGCACAAACACACACACACACCACTTGTGTATAGTCTTGCTGAACAACTGAGACTGTTGCTCCCCAAAAGAGTAGTGATCACGTAAGCAAGCTGGGAAAAGCGCATGGCGACAAAACTGCTGTGTAGCTTCGGCGGAAAGGAACTTATGAAAAGGCATCTCTAGGAGCCATCGGGGAAGTCATAAAGTTTCCCAAAGTGCCTGCCGCCTAGATAATATGTAACTTTCGATGAACGCATGCGAATCTTTGACCTGAGTTGAACCTTATATCTCCAAGGTGCCAAGAACCCGGATCGGGATCGGACTGACGGCCGCTGCGGCGATTGTGTCACAATGCAGGGTTGCACTTGAAGGGTTCTGTTCCATGTTATAGTTAGTGTTTACATAGAGTCTCGCGATATGGGAACCTGCGATATATAGGCTTGGGATGACGTCACCAAAAACTCTATGCCTATGGTAAAATACGGTCGAAAGTTTGTAGGTCCACGGGCCTCGAAGTGCAAGTCCCAGTTGAGCGGGGTTACAGGGGTAAGGAGAGGGTTGCCGTCGGGCAGGGGTGTTTTGCCTACAGGTAGCAGTTTGGGGCGAGTGTGATGAAGGGTGCAGAGGAAGTGGGCTTAGTGTTTTTAGGGGTTAAAGGGTGTATATTATTATTAGTAGTAGTAGAAGTAGTAGTAGCAGTAGTAGTAGTAGTAGTAGTAGCAGAAGAAGAAGCAGTAGTGGTAGTAGTAGTAGAAGTAGTAGTAGTAGTAGTAGTAGTAGTAGCAGTAGCAGTAGCAGTAGCAGTAGCAGTAGCAGTAGCAGTAGCAGTAGCAGTAGCAGTAGCAGTAGCAGTAGCAGTAGCAGTAGCAGTAGCAGTAGTAGTAGTAGTAGTAGTAGTAGTAGTAGTAGTAGGAGCCGGTTGAAAGGACACTCAGCACGTTGAGGTGTGTGTTCGATTAAAGGTGATCAGAGTGCTGTTTTGTGTCCTTCCTTCCAGGCTTGTAGTAGTAGTAGTAGTAGTAGTAGTAGTAGTAGTAGCAGAACTAGTAGTAGTAGTAGTAGTAGTAGTAGTAGTAGTAGTAGTAGTAGTAGTGGTAGTAGTAGTAGTAGCAGTAGAAGTAGAAGTAGAAGTCGTACTAGCAGTAGTAGTAGTGGCAGTAGTACTTATCCCAACACAGCAATACCTAAACCTCTAAACCCTTAAAGCCCAAACCGTAAACACCAAAACCCCCCAAACCCTAAACCCCAAAGCCCCTACACCCCAACTCCGCAAACCCTGAACCTCTGAACCCTAAACGCCTAAACCCTAAACCGCTAAAGCCTGAATGATTAATGGGTGGGTGCTTAAGCAAGGGCTCTGATTAATGGGTGGGCTTTTAAGCGCTGACTCTTAAACCCCTAAGCCCTAAACCCTAAGCCAGCACCAGAAGAGGAGATCTTTACCCAAGATCGACAAAGCAAGATCCCCAGGCCAAGATACACGAGCCAAGTTGCTAGTTATCAGCAGGATTCTGATATTTTCACCGGGTCGGCAGTGCTCAGGTGCAATGACGACACCGCCAAAATCTGACAGATATTCTGTCATAGCATGATCCACGTGGGCTCTTTGCTGAACCCAGCAAATGTTCACTATTAAAGCGTAAACCCTAGGCACCAAACCATCGGTCACCCTGGGCCAGAACCGCAACCCTATATATATGTATACACATATATATATATATATATATATATATATATAGGGCCTTTAAACCTTGAGCCCCGGTCCCACAAACCTTGTATATAAACCATGAACCCTAGTTTTAGGCCTATAAAAAAGCCTAGGCCCTACCCCTAAACCATTTTAGACTCGAAAACCTCAGCCGAAAAACCTTGAAGTGCAACCCGAGCCCACGGTGCCATCAAAAGCGGCGGCGCGAAAGCTCCGAGCTGGAAAAGGTTGCGAGGACGTTCTCACGAGCATGGGAATTCCACCACCTGCCCAATTGGGCTAATTGAGGAGAAGGCTGTGTACACGCAGGTATATTTGTCAAGGTTCGCTCTATGTTTATCAGCAATAGATACGACAAGAGAGTCAGAGAGAGAGGGGGCAAAAGAGAGTGTTGCACTGACTAGTTTTCAAGTTCTGGCATCAGTATTGTCGACACTCCCATACAACAATGCCGAATCAAGAGCACTGCCGAAGGAAAAGAATAATACATGGAATCTAGAGACGGCGCAAAGCAGCCCAGCCTGTCCTTTCGTTCATCCCATGTCAGATCCGGCTTCTTCTCCTTGAGCCTCGGAGAAGAGCTCAAACACGATGCGGTGTGTGTGTGTGTGTGTGTCTGTGCCCAACACTTCCTATAATATGTACATTAGGGTTTACAGGGTTCAGTATTGCGGGCCATGCAGCTGCTTCATGAAAGCATCTTTGGCGATACCATATCGCGACTGCTTATTCTTTTTCTTTGGAGGCTTCGGATCCGCCTGACTTTGAATACCAAAAGCAACCCTCGAAACTCATGCAACAACATCTGCGAAGCATGCTTGCTTTCTGCCTTGGTTTTTGCCTTCGCCTTTGCTTTCGCTTTGGCTTTTCCTTTGGCCTTGGGGGCCGCCTTTGCTTTTTCTTTTGGTTTGGATTTCGCCTTGCTGGTTGCCTTCGCTTTGCCTTTGGACTTGTTTCTCTTGGCCTCCGTGCAGCTAGCAACCAGAAGTCGCTGGCGGGCTGGGTTCAAGGCGACATGTTCTCCCGTCACACACGCGCGGAAAGCAATCGCTTTGATATCATCGCCGTCGCCGATATCACCTTCCAATCCAGTAGTCCAGGGGTCCTGAAATTGCCCGCGGCACCGGCATGAAACCGCGCATGCAGAAAATGACTTGCCACACACGCCAAGCTTCTGCAGTAACCAAAGATCGATTGCCACGCACCTTTTCCGTTCCAGCCTTAATCGGTCCATAGGTGGATACTCTTATGAAGCCAAACTGCAACCTGCGATCCGGTTCACGACCAGTGGCTTCGAAATCTGCTTCCTCGTCGTTCTCATCGAAGTCCTGCGCACGCATTACTTCTGGTAGCAATAGTGACATATAAAGGCTTTCTAGGGGACATGAGATGTAGTGTGGAGCTATATATGTAATCAAAACTTATAAAGGATCTGCCTACTAGGTCTCTAATACCACCCAATGTATCTTTACATATGTACGAACGAATAATTATGATGATATGGAGTACGAATCAGCCTCGTCGCGGTCGATTTTGCCCTCTTTGCTGAGCGCTTTCTTGCTTGCTTCCCAAGCCTCGCAAACCCATGCCATGCACCAGCAAAGTTCAGGACCACACTGATGGATACTGGTGTCTATTTATGTCTATATATATATATATTTATGTATATATGCACTGCCTCCGCCTCTTTGTTGCGCATCTGCTCTTCAACCGCCATCGCGATTTTATCTGCCTTTGATCGAAAACATGCCCTGCTTATCGAACAACTTTAAACGGTATCTGCAGCCAAGCAACACGACTGTGATAGCAGTAATTTCCAACATACTCGAGGGGGGGGGGCCGATTCCAAGGAATCGGCATATTTGCAGGCAAGCAACACGACTGTGATAGCAGTAATTTCCAACATACTTGAGGGGGTCCGATTCCAAGGAATCGGGGGGTTCATTGCGGATGGCCTGGTTGAACAGCGGCAAGAGACAGTAAGCAGTAGTCGTAGCAATAACAGTAGCAGCCACAGCAGCAGTAGTGGTAGTAGTAGTCGTGGTGGCGGTGGTGGTGGCGGTAGTCGTGGCGGCGGTCATGGTCTTGGTGGTGGTAATAGTAGTGGTAGAAAAGTGGTAGTTGGAGCATATAGTAGGAGTAGTAGTATAGAAATAGTAGTAGAAATGGTCGTCGTAGTAGTAGTAGTAGTAGCAGTAGTAGTAGTAGTAGTAGTAGTAGTACTGTAGTAGTAGTAGTAGTAGTAGTAGTAGTAGTAGTAGTAGTAGTAGTAGTAGTAGTAGTAGTAGAGTAGTCGTCGTCGAAGTAGTAACTGAATGGTACATAACTAGTCCGAGTAGTAGCAAGGCCTGTCCCCAATGCAAAACTAGCCCACGTGCTGTACAGCACCTCGAACTTGGCTTCGTTTCTCTCATCGAAGTAGATCGTGCCATTCGGGCTCTCTTCATAGGATAGGTCTGATATGTAATCATCACAAGCCTGTTCAGGGTTGCCCACACAGCAACACATATCTGCCAAGGATTCAACTGAAATTGCAAACTCATGGCCTGTTCAGAGTCTCCCCACTCTTCTTCATCCGGCCAATCCCCATTGTCCTCTTCGGCTTCGCCTGGCGGCCTGGGAACGTCCGAGGCCTGTGTGGCAGAAAGACAATATAGGTAATTTCAAGGGTTCAGGAGTATGATGGTCACACCAAAGGTATACAAAGCAGGTTACGGTTAATTCCTGATGCGACAACACAAAAGCGAGGAGCTGCCTCCGCATACACTGACTTTTCAGATTCATCGGGCCACCGATCCCCATCGGTTACCTCCATGGTGCGATGCATGCGATACACCTTTAGCCTTTACTGCACACACGCTCAGAGTTTTCTAACATGAAACACCACCCATCTCCCCCAGACCTTCGAATCTTTCGCGCTCGGGATAGCATCCCAGATGCTACCTGGCTTCATCCATCGCCTCACGTCGTGTTGCGGGAACGCGTAATTCCGATAGAGATCGTCCCCGTTCTTATAGAAAATGTCGCTGTCAGGCGACCTGAGGTATATGTGGTACAATCCCCAAAAAATTGCAGCACATTCGGAATCGTTGCAACCGAAAGACACAGAGGCCACCGCTGTCTGGGACTCCTGTACAACATGTTGCAGTCGAGAAGGAAGCTATGCTATTATCAGCTGTGCATTTCCTCGAATACAACACGACAAAAGCCACTCAATAGACGTGTGCCTTGGACTGTTTTGCACCAGCTACCTTCCAGCATTCCTGCGCATCATGTAGAATTTAGTACAACAAGTTTTTCAGTGAAGGCAACACGAGTCCTGGGAAGCTTCTGTTGTGACATCTTCTTCCCAAACTTCTTCCTGCGCAGCAGGCATTATCCGACCGAGTTGTTCAGGGAACAGCAAAGAAAAGCACAAATAAGTCTCAGGCATCGGCTGGCCAATCCTCTTCAGCTTCCTTACATGGGTGCGTAGCATACGATATCAAACAAGCTGCAAGACACGGTGCAATGCTGCCCGAGAGCCTCCGAGTCTCCAGGGCATTCTCCTTCCCAAGCTTCCTGCAACAGCGAATGAAATATCCAGTGAACACACCTGCATCCTTCTAATGTTAGTCCTGGTCATCGGCTGGCCAATCCTCTTCAGCTTCCTCATGGGAGCATGGCATACGTTATCAAACATAGAAGGCTGCCCCAGAACCTTCCAGTCTCCAGGACATGCTTCTTCCCAAGCTTCCTGCAGCAATGCAATTATTTCGTGAACATAACTCTCCTCTCTATCTATCTCTCTCTGTCTCTCTCTCTCTCTCTCTCTCCCTCTTTCGCGCTCTTTCCCTCTGTCTCTCTCTCTCTCTCTCTCTCTCTCTCTCTCTCTCTCTCTCTCTCTCTCTCTCTTTCTCTCTTTCTCACGCTTTCCCACTCTCCGTCGCTCTATGTCCTCGTCATCGGCTGGCCAATCCCTTTCAGATTCCTCAGGGTACGAGGCTTACAAGGATTAAAGTTATTCAGCGAATGCAATAACATACGAAGTCCTTGGCATCGTCTATCCAGGATAACCATTCCTCCAGATGGAGATCCTCGATTTGCTTATAGAACATAGCAACAAACTGTCGCAACTTGATAGACAGTAAACACCACACAACGCCGCAATCGCAAAGGTCGATCCTCGTCAAGATCCATCATCCCATCATCCTGCATGGAACAGCTTAACACAGCTTGGTAGTCGGAAATGTCGAACCTGCTCCTCTTCTTGAGCTTCGTTCCATTCATCGTCTGGCCATTCCTGAAACATTGGTGGATATCGAAGGGGCTGGGGCTAAGGGAAAATAGCTTTACTATACTTGGAACGGTCGACACTGCACCTCTTCGCCACCTTGCAAGCACTCATCCGCTGGCCACTCCTCCGGAATGGGCTGTCATATGGGTGAATACAGATGTGAAGGGATTAGGGTTATTAGGATGGAAATATGGTAATGGATCAGTCCTCGTCGTTTTCGTTCCATGCATCTGAGTCCTCCGAATGGGACCAAAATTATCACATGGCAATGAAACCCAACATAGGTAGCATCTCCTTGGCTTCCTCCGCATCCACCAAAGCTTCGGCTTCCTGCAGGCAGCATTTGCAGCAGTAGTAGTCGTCGTAACAGTAGTTGTTGTTGTCTCTATCAAGCAACACAGCAAATCGCACGACATTTTCCACCCTACTTGTAGGTGCCGTGGCTCGCAGTGCATGAACCGGATCTCGCCGTATCGCCAAGAACCAAAGGCAGAAGAGCATCGAAAGCCAGGCGCGCTCGCCCAAATCCATCCACCATCCGTTGTCCACAAGGATTCAGGATGACCACATCCAGATCTCCCTGTAAGGAAGCTGCACCATCGGCATGCGGCCTACTTGTAGCTGGGGAGATTCTGCATCATCGGTCGATAGATGAGTCGATCACCAACGTCGACGGCTTCGTTCGTGCCCAAATGCAGAACGGGTCGGCCTTTGCGCAATATAAGACCGCCAACAACAAGATTAAGTCTATATTTGGACAGAATGTAAGATCACAGCAGGAACAAACTGCTCAAAAAAGGTAAGACTGGGAACTGGGGGTGAGGAGGTTGTCCACGCCGTGCACATCGAGATCCTGCATATCAAGATGAACTGCATGGGTTGATTGATGCGTACTCAGAGCTTCGAACGTACTAATAGTAACACCAACATCTGTCCTGCTTGTCGCGAGCACGCCTCAGGCGCTTTATAAAAAACGGGGTCTGCGTGCATTTCTCGTTGCCATTCGTCGGCTCTGCGATCAGCGGGTCCGCATCGTCTGCAACCTCATTGGCTTCCGAAGGCTGCCGCACCGCCACATAAGTAGGCTCCATGCCACGCTTGGATCGCCACGTGTCCCAGTTGCTCCGACCGCTGCGCGACTTCTTGGCCGCCGGCTTTTTATTGGCATTCATCGCCTTGTCGGCTTTCATCGTTTTCATCGCCCTGCCGGCTTTCATCGCTTTCATCGCCTTGCCGGCTTTCATCGCTTTCATCGCCTTCATGGCTTTCATCGCCTTCATGGCTTTCATGGCTTTCATCGCCGTCCCGGCATGGGCCCTTGAACCATCGTGCTAGCGGTCCATGATCGCTGGCAATCGATCTGCATGCTTCGAAGCAAGACACATATATCATGTGCTATATATGCGTACATGTGTCATCTGCGAATATATATGTGCACGTGCGTGAGCGCGCCGGGCACGCGACGGGCGCACATGCAATCGTGCAATGTGTATACATATATATATATATATAAACATTATAAAATACGATAGATATTATGAATATATGTGCGTGTACGTGCGTGCTGGGCGCGCGTGCCTGCGCGCGCCGGGCGCGCATGCAAACATATATATGTATATATATATATATATATATATATATATATATAGGTACATATATAGTGCATATAAATATATGGTGGAACTATATCGTGCGCGCCGGGCGCGCGTGCGTGCGCGCGCCGGGCGCGCATGCAATCGTGCAATGTGTAGACATATATATAAATATTATAAAATACGATATATATTATGAATATATGTGCGTGTACGTGCGCGCCGGGCGCGCGTGCGTGCGCGCGCCGGGCGCGCATGCAAACAGGTGAATATGTGTATATATATATATATATATAGTGCATATAAATATATGGCGGAACTATATCGTGCGCGCCGGGCGCGCGTGCGTGCGCGCGCCGGGCGCGCGTGCAAAGAGATGACACTGCATATGTATATATATATATATATATATATATATATATGTGTGCGCGTACGTGCGCGCGCGCGCCAGGCGCGCGTGCAAGCAGATGTCGTGCATATCTGCAATGTATCTGTATAATATACCTTTGTATGAATATCCGTGCTCGTATGTGCGCGCCAGGCGTGTGTGCATGCGCGCGCCTGGCATGCGTGCAAAAACTATATTGCGTGCATATTTCTGTATATATATATATATATATGTATACGAGAGCATGCATGCAGTCCCAACAGTCCCAACAGGCAGGTCCATCAATCGCAACGCATGTCCTTCGAAGTCTTCGATGTGGAGCTTTCTGCCTGCGTGCAGGAAATTATTGATATCGTTTATTTTATGTTTCAGTTTATCTCTCGATCTCCCGTTCTCTCGCTCGAATCTCAGTTTCCAGTTTCTGGCAATATACATGCAGTTACACGGCCTTCAAACGGAACTCGCGCTCCCAGGCATTTTTCTTCGCCCTTCGGCAAAGGTAGTGGACGATCTTTGCTTGATCCTTGCACCATTCGTCCAGTGTCATGCCATATAGACATCCTGGTCGAAGCCCCCAATCTGCAAGTATGCGCATCGTTATCACAAGTGTCGCTCTCGTGAAAAAGCGTTTAGTGCCGGCGAACTTGGCCGTCCATGAAAAAAAACGCCGCACACGCGGACTTCGATGGGTTCGGCTGGACCCAGGAACGATGGAGCCGGTCCGCTCAATCTGCTCCAGATCCAATATTGGATATAGTTCGTCAGCAAGCATCAGAGCCTGCAGGATTGCAATCTGTATATGAATATATAAATGGCTGAACAAAATCATGCATCGCCTTCTTTTTCTTTGTCTTCGGGAATACTGCCTCTTCACGAACTATATCCTGCCAGATCGATTGTCAAACATGCGTACCTTCATTTTGCAAGCCAGCACCCTCGAACTCTCAATCTCGCCTTCATGGCAAGGACAGAGCTGGATCTTCTAAGCCTGCCAAACTGTTTCAATATCTTTCTCTCCGTCTGTCTCCATCTCTCCCCCAGCTCTCTCTCACGATCTCTCATGCAATATACTTCTATATCTCTACACATCGATCTTTCGCACTGTCACCTTGTAGGGCAACTTACCCTGCATCGTGCCTTCGAAGACATAATCACTCGATCGGCAACGCTGTCTCGTCTTTTGCGAGCGCAGCCTGCGAAATTGAGGTCTGTCAATCTTATTAACACTTCCCATTCTCCAAGATCCCGCCTTCGAGATCTTCCCAGCACCACCAGTGACCACAGCCTGTATTTCATCCGCTATCGGTTTGGTTAGGATCGTGCACAATTCCTAAACTCGAGTCCATCCAGCCTTCTGCTGCTGGTAGGTCTTCACTACAGGCAGCGGCAAAAATGGCAAGCCGACGCTCTCTACAATAAAAGAATGTGTGGAATGTATAGGAGACGGGTTGCATCGCCGCGATTCACTCCTACTATACATGGGCCGGCATGGTCCGCGACTAGCGTTGCAATTCAACGTGAACATGCATGGGACAGGCGTGCCAGCAAAGCCACAAAAC